AAAAGCTTTTTAGGGCTAGACGAACGTCCAGGCTTTATTTGTACACTTTGAGTCTAACACATTTACCGCACAAATGTCTTAATCAGATTGAACTTCAAATTTTACCACTGTTTATAACACAAAAAAGAAGAAAAAAAAGAGAAACTTCTGGAATCGTAAAATATTTCATTTAATGTTTGAACAGAATTGTCTTTTATATGTGGTTGCAAAAATCGAACGCATACAAACATTTTGTACTCACACTATTTCAATTTATACACTCATCATATATGTTGCACACATAATAAATATTCAAGTTTACAAAAATGAGTGATCGGGTTGTATATACAGAGTCAGTGGAATACTTAAGCTTTATCATTATTCCAAAATCTCATTATACTAAAATATGTACAGATAGATAGATAGACTTATTTCGGTATAGAATACATATACATGACATATATAACAACATATACATTTAAAACATACATGAGTATAAATAAGCCATGACATACACACCAGCACCAAGGATAACACAAAAAAGAGGGACTCTTATTTCCATTGTCCCCTGCGTTGATGGCATGACAGAGTGCCTTTAACCAGTGCTAATACAAACTTTCAATTAAATATTATCACAGTTAGATTTCAATTATTTTGACACATATAGACTAGAATTAGAACATTGAATCACATTGTTCAAGTTAAATCAGAATATATAAACTATGAGGCAAATGATAGAATGAATAAGCAAAATATCAGTGATTAATTTGCGGTAAGAGTAATTTCCCTGCTTTATATATGTTACTTAATGAAAGAAACATGTGATGAATGTCAACTACAATATCATATGAGTTACAAACGTTACATTTTAGTGTCTGAAAACACCAAACCAACCACATTTCAAAAGGATGGAGATTAATATACACATGAAAATTGACAACAGTTTTATATTTTTGCTGCAAAGTAAACAATTGTACGACGGTTAAAATGTTTAATACAACACTTTCGCCATTAAATCGACATCAGTGCATCATTTAACATTTATGTATTGAACTTTTAGGACCTGTTAATTTTAGTTTAAACCAACTTAACTCTTGCGAGATTTGTCAAGAAGGCACCTTACATTTTATAACCTTTTTGTACCCTTTACCATTTATTGCACAGTCTTTCTATATAAGCATATAGATACATGACACCACTTTCAAATAACTTCGAGTGAGACTAAAAAAAGAATTGGAGTACCACACTAAATACCGTATTGATAAAATGCTAAAAATCTTGCCTTTTTACCCAACGGAATGAACTTTAACAGGTCTAATTCATCTTTTCACAGCAATTTATGTACAATAATGAATAAAAAATGTAAATATCGGCGAAAAAGACGATATTTGTCTATTTTGTGATCGTCATTTCTGCAAGGTACTGCTCCAATCATGTATTGAGTTAAACCCAATAACTTTAGGTCTAATCATACCAATAACCAGCAATTCGTTTTATCTTTAGTAATTGTTGGGAAACGCCAAAGTTCGTCATTTACCATTACCTCCGTTGTAAGTTTTATGCTTAAGAAAGTCTTTTACCGCAATTAGGTTCCATATCCCCAAACTTCACAACCGTATGTTAAAATTGGTACACTTCTTTTCTGATTTAAGCCAAACATTGTTCGTCTTGATTGTTCAACAATATACTTAAAGAAACATAGAAAAAGCAACAAAAAATTGCAAATTGTTTATTTTTAGAAACAATACACACATGTAATTTACAAGGGTCTACAATTTTTAAAACATTATCTACAAAATATATTTCTGTGTCTATGTCTTATCTCGCCAAATACGATAACGATCATACACAAGTACACATCTACATGTACTCAAAAACACATTTTTTTAACAATAATCAATTCTAATTTATTTTCTTCTGAATTTTTTATGATAAACATTTAACAAACTTTAAGCTAACTGCTGAATAAAATTCATCTTTTTGAACCCGAAACTGATAATTTTGGACTTGTCAGGGAGAAAGTCATTAAAAACATAAAAACATCAATCACAATTTGTGATAATATGATCTAATTTGTTACGTGACCTGCAAAACCACCACCTACCACAACAACATTTTTTACGGTACACGTGTGAACGACTTTTCTAAACGTTTGAATTATAATAAAATATTGACGAAGTGTTCCGGACTTATACAAATCATAGTTCAGGGCGAAGATGAAGTAAACAATTTAGTTATACCCACATGTTAATGTGTTTTATATTTATAAACGTCACTTGTCTGTCACATAATACCTATTCACTGACCAGTTGTTTTGCTTGATTTATATTGACGAATATCAATTTTTGTGTTATTGCTCCATCGTGGACGTTAATTGGGTGTCAAGTTGTTTACAAAGTATATAAGTAATGTTTAGTTAGTGAATGTCAAAGACACAAGCATGCAATTACAGGGATTAATTATGGATCAGGGGCTTATTTTTAAATTAAGTTCTATGGAACGCCGGAAAAGTCAAAATATAAGCAATACGTTATCTCGTTAATTCGGATAGAAACATTCTCAATACAATTCAATTCTTTATTAAGATGTTTAAGCCACCTGTCCATTCACCAACACTGTTCACAATAAACATATATTACATACATATATACAATTATAAACACTATATATAAGAAATTAATGTCCCTTAAAATTGTACATTATATATACAGTTGACTCTCGGTAACTCGAAATCCAAGGGACTGGGCATTTTACTTCGAGAGAAACGGAATTCGAGTAACGTGGAACTGCCGCCATTACGTTGACATTCGTACATGTTTATACATGTGCCTGATTAAATGTGCAAAGAAGTAGGTTTGTTATTGTTGTTAGCGGCAATGCTGCAATAATTAACCGTTGAAATGACGGTAAATCTCGTACAACTACAAATTATAAATGAAAATAAATATATCATTCAAAATTTAATACATGAACATGTATATTAATAGTGAAACGTAAACACACAATTATATTTGATTCGTTTGATCATCTGACCAAACGAAAGTAGAAACTATCGTGAACCGGAAGTACAAATTAATGTTTGCAAAATGACGGAACATTAATTATACAAATGTCATTTACGTTGATAACACACATCAATACCTTGGCTGTTATTTGACAAACACCCGTCAGACTGGCACGAGTCATCTTTCTTAAAGAAATGTAATTAAATTTTAATTTAGTTATCTAACTGTTAAAACCAATTAAGTGCTGAAATGAATTAAAGCCACTTATACGACGTGTTAATAATACGTGATGACCGGCAATCAAAATGTCTATGGAACGTGTGATGTCGTCGACCTTTGATCATTCGGCTGTTTTCACACTACGACTAATTGAGATGAAAATATGTTGTACTTTAATTGACGGGACCAAATTTTCTTTTCGACTAAAGAGGAGTCTCGGTAAGTCAAAATTTGACCTAAGCGGAGTTAAAATACAAAGATAAAGAAGGAAATTTGACGGGACTTTAGAAATTCTTCGACTAACGCGGAATTTTGAGTAAAGCGATTTTGACTTATTGAGAGTCAACTGTACATGTAAATTTTTATATGTTTTAATACAAGCAAGGATATAGGTAATTCTTAACGATTTGATTGTTGAAAATAGCATGACATATATTAGTTTGTTGACAGTGATTTACATAATGTGACAGTTGACGTCAATATATCACGTCATTGATTGACGTCATGTAATTGACATGTTAATTAACCACAAAATTCTCTTAAAACATTATATAATACTGTCTAAGTATGGGAACACCTCAATGATTATTCACAATACGAAGATTGGCGGAAAATGCCGAAAATTGACGATTGCTGTCATTAAACGTGAACTACATTTTGACTGGTTAGAGTATCCTTCCGCAACAATAATAAAGTTAGTATTGAATATAGCACGAATGTCTATATATGGTAACAGTATTAGATGTAGCTTAAAAATCAATTCCCGGACTGTGCAGGTCACTTTTGTAGTGATTGATCATCCTATCTTCGGTCATTCGCTTTGTACTACTGTACCGTTGCTCTGGCATGTACAGAAGTTAACAGTTCCTTGCGAAAGTATATGCAACTGGTAAACTTCTGGACAGCCTGCCTAGGAACGATGCAGTGGCTGAACCGTGTTCTGGTAAATTCAGTGTGGCTCCCTATCGTGATCCGGAGTGAAAACTACATAACCATGATTTTCATATGATGGAATTAAGAGCTGAAATAATTATAAATGATGCTGTTTCTAAAGCCTTTATTTGTTTTCTTTCAAAAATGATAATTTAACTAACAATGTCATAACGTGTATAAAGCTGCCGGCAGTTTACACAGTTTTTGTTTGAATGTTATCAAAGTGCCTGTATGAAAGAAACCTATTTTCACATTGCCTTAACAGGATATGGTGCATGCAGTATTTTCCCCTATTTGCCCTACTTAAAAGCAGCATTATATTTTTTAACGGAAATTTTTATTCTGTTTACATACAGTATTCATATGTTTTAAATAGTATATTATATAAATATAATTGATCAAACTATCATAAATGAAATCACATATTTTAACTGTGTGTGTGTGTTTTTTTTTTTTTTGGGGGGGGGGGTGTCATTGTTGCTCTTTCAGTTTTGTAAAAAGACTTTAATGAAATATAGTTTTATACGCTTTTAATTACTTATTCTTAATTTAAAATGTTAATATATAAAGATGTTTCATACTGTCATTTTAAATATAAGCTACAATAAATAATAAATATGATATCCTGACCACCCTTTTTATATTGTAAATGGTCATTAATAGGCGAAATCGTATTGTTTGTTTTCGACCTATATGATAACAAGAAGACCTTAATCTAATATTTTTAGTTATCAAGATTTTTGACAGGGTATATGCCCCAGTTTAAAAGTTTTGTTTAAACGTCACGATTATCCAATGAAAATCGTCGTTACAAACGTGCAGTATTATATAAGATAATCATAGAGTTTCTTTTTATTTTTTTAGTTCGTGGACAGGCTGCTAAGACAGCATGGGCCGCAAACGCTGCAATGGGTCTTGGTAAGTACCCTAGATTGTGATTGGATGCTATTTATAGATAATGATTCTGAAACATATATGATGCGTTCTGATTGGCTATTTGTAATATTCTATTTTTAGACATTTTCTGATTGGTTCCCAGCGGAAGTATCTCACAACATCTCATTTAACAATTATAGGGCAATTTTTGTATGCAATAAACAATGATTTTCATTTTGCATATCATTAGTGGTGATAAGTTGCAATAATATTTCAGGTCTAAATGTAAACGAAATAAATGTATAGGTGAATTGATTAATTGTTCTTTACAATACTAATGTAAACGATTTTACTATTTTTTTACAATACTAAATTAAACGATTTTACGTGTCTCAGTTCTAAATATTTTAATTTCTGGCAGATGCATGATTGATACAACAAACTGTAATGAATTTATAAATAATCTTGCTGAACTTGAAATAAATTAACCTTTAGAAAATAAAAATGGTCCAACTTGTTGTCGCTAACAAACATTGTTTTAAGAACAGTTATTGAATAAATTTACAACTTCATCAACTCCTTCACACTGACCAAATTTTAGAGGGTTTTTTAAAAAAGTAAATAAAATATTACAGCGCTGATAAATGTTAGTTAATATACATTTAAATCTAATTGAAAAGCTATCGTTTTAGTTTAAGTTTCTATTTTTTTGTGACACTGCCTTTATACACCGTACAAAGTGAATCACGTGATCTGCTGGTTGCAACCGGAAGTCAAGTTTTCCTCGCATTCACACATGTCACTGTTGATATCCTTACAGCTTTGCACACGCACTTTTTTTGTAGGCGCGCGATCTAACCATGTGATATAATCACGTGATTTTATATAATCATCACGTGATATTGTTAAAAGCTATTGAAATTTACGTTACTTTCTTTTTTTTCACGTTTTGTGAGTAGTTAATTAACCTTAATCATTGTGCGGTTGAAATATAGATTTGACTCTTATTTTGTTTTTCATTCTAAATTACTTATTTAAAATAAAACCGTACTTTTTTGCACCTGTCTGGACATACGATCTCTGCATCAATTTTACGACATCTGTACAACAGATTATTTCTGATTGTCGTTTGTTACATTTTTGTTATCTTTTTTTCCTCGATGTCAAAAATGAATCACGTGCCAAAGAACAATGTCACCATGGCTATGTTTGCGCATGTGCAGTGTACTTGCAAAGCGTTCTCCGGAAAGCTCTTATATCTCACTGTATGTTTTAAGGAGTAAACGCAGATGGCATGCAGTTGTTTATTTATAATTTGTTTAAAGGCATTACACGACCACATAAAGTTAAATATATTATATATTTGTTAATTTAAGACGGGGAATATTCATTTTTGAATGAAAAAAAAATAGACGAAAAAGTAAATGTGGTCATTTTAGACTTTAAATGCTTACTGAATATTTCCATTCAATCGTATTTTCGTACACAATTGTTTTGCTTTTTGTCGAGTAATGCCTTTAACAGTTAAAAAATGTTTATATATTTGGTAATTTGCATTATACATCCACTATGTTGTGATTTTACAAAATAACGCTTCATTGAATTGTTATATCAAATTATTTTAACTAATCATGAAATTATAAGCATGTTTTATTATAACAAAAAAATAAATAAAATAAACATAGGATTTGTTTTTCGAGATTGTATAGATATAGAAATAATTTTATTTTATTTTTTCATTCTCTTTCAATTTTTTTTTATATCAGTATTCATTCACAAGTGCCCTTTCAACATGACAGAACTACATGTATTTCTTTTTTAAATGTAGGAACTAAAAAGAAAAAAATCTAATAAATCTAGCTAGAATTGTTTTTAAATAATATCATTCATTATTTTACAATATTAGTAGATATTTGTGTGTAGTAACAGTAGTATAATTGTGGTGCTGCGATTCTAAACATTAAACACGCTTTACAATGGCGCTTGTCACGTGGTAGTACACTGGAAGCGTTCGTTCTGCACTGCTTAATGTTGCCAAGCGACTTACATCACCGATGACGTCATTATTTCAGACGGTGTGCCTGTAAGTGCAGTGTCTGTGAAAGGAAAAATCGGCGGTAAGTGCTAGGTTGGCAAAATGTTGCTTTTTGATGCTTTATTACTATGCGACCGCATTACAATGATCGAACAAGTCATAAATTCTTTACTGTAACATAAAGTTGGAAAATAGTCTTCTTTTCCCAAGAAACTGTTAGAACTTTTAAGAAAATCAAAAGATGATAGTTCTCGGTACTATATGACATAGCTAGAATAAATCTAAAGATCAAAAGAGAGAGAAAATTATTTGTAAGGAAATGTCTTTTATATGTACAACATTTAGACTAAATTTGTGTCATAAAAAGAACTCTAGGCGTATCAAATGTGTACTTTCAAAATATTGAGGTTGACTGTTCAAATTGTTCCAGGACTTTATTTTGACTTTGTGTTTACAGTAATAGAATGGGTGACGTACATTGATCATATTTACAACAAAATGTTTTGTTATAACGTCTTGGATAAGGTTTTTAGATTTAAACAAAATAACACCGTAATATCTAACAAAAATGTTAACTTCTTACATTTCATATTTTTTAACAATTGTGGTTTAAAAAATATCTGAGAAGCTTTAGTTCATTTATTTTATGAAGTTTTTACTGAGTAGATTTCTATGTGTAGATTTTTTTATATAGTTCATGTGATTTCGTATAGGCCCCTATCTATTAAAGTTTTAAATAAAACAACTTTTTTTGTGCAATGTTTAAGTTCCACGAAACCAAATTATGTTAGAATTATGTCTTCAATATCAGTTGGATGACGTCACCATCCTTATGATGACACAATGTAACCACACTAAAATAACTATAATTACATGGTTATGTCATAAAATCGATATAATGACGTCATGACGTCAAATGACTAGACTACTGGAAGGTATAAATAGCTAAATCAATTGTCCTTTTTTCCTCGACCTATATTTTTATGCTGATTAAACTACGTTAGCGAAATTAGAAGGAAAATTTAATGTCCGTACTTTTAAGAAAATTAGACAAATATTTTAAAGTAGATTCTGTAAATTGTAACTTAATTGAAACACGACGACATTTTTCTATACTTCAACTCTCCATTTGCCCCATACGCTAATATTTGTAACACGCTACATTAATTACATCTAGGTGATTTTTAAAAAAAAAATTATACACGAGAAAATTAATTTTAGCAATATGTATCGGGGTAAATGTCGTTTTATGTGATATATGTTCTGCCTGATGACATATGTCTAACCTGGGAGAACATATGTCCTACACAAGGACGATGTTTCTACTCAAAGACATATGCCAAACATTGGGACATATATGTCGTACACGAAGACTCATTTACTTGGATATATATGCCAAACACGAAAACACGTCTGTCTTGCACGGGAAACATAGAATATACATTACTCACTGCTTTATGTATTGTATTTGTGTTTACACACTACACACCGCTATACACTGGTTTATGTATTGTATTTGTGTTTACACACTACACCGCTACATACTGGTTTATGTATTGTATTTGTGTTTACACACTACACACCGCTACACACGGGTTTATGTATTGTATTTGTGTTTACACACTACACACCGCTACACACTGGTTTGTAAACGATTTGCAGGTCAAACCCCGGCTTCAGCTTACGCCTCAGAGCCACATCAATATCTTAAACTGTTAATGATACAAACTGATAAAGGTAATATTATAACCTTCATATCCAATTCCCACTTTCTGTAAAGAATGGCAAAGTTACAAACATAACATATAGCTTGAATTAAATCATTTATACAGCAATGCTTTTTAAATAATTTTAGCATAACTGTTATAAGTGGCCACTATATTTCTGTCCGTCTTTTCAATAATTTCCAAATAGTTAATTATGCAACGTTTACTTGCGATAAATTACGAAATATTTCTCCGGTCAAATGATCATTTTATTTTACACGCATTGCCGTCTTTATTTACTTAATGCTAAAACGTAATCCAAGGGGTTAAGAAAAGGCCTAAAAAAATGTTTTGAGAAAGAACAGATGTATCTTTTTTTTAAACTTGTTCCGAAATAAATAAGTTCTCCGTTTTGTAACTATGCCATCACCTTGTACATGGTGACATCATTTGAATATGGTATTGAGTTTACATTTTGATACACCATTTCTATAATGATTAACCTGGGTTATGTTTTAAATTTGTATTTAATTTTTATTCTTTTTCATAATTTGTATTTAAAGATCCTGTATGTTTTGTGATTGATATTGTACCTGTGTGTATACCAGTCTAACAATAAATTATATATGTACATAATTATGCAAATAAAACAAGTTTCAAACATCGGAGAATATATAAAGCATGTACTGCAAATATTTGTGCACATTATATGAAATCAATAAAGTATATGCATTCATTTCTTTTTGGAAAATTTGACTTAGAATTTATAGAAAAAAAATTCTAATTATCTCCCTTTATTTATATGAAATGTTAAATTCGGTAATATCTTTATAAATAATGCTTATTGGAACTTACAAAATTGACAAATCTTAATTTGAGCATCATATTTATGAAATAAAACCATAAAAATGTGTTACAGGATCTTTAAATGAAAAAAAATTGTAATCTGTTTCTGTTTTTTTGTTCCTTTGTTTTAATAAAAGTTTATTTCTATCAAAAAAAAAATCTATTCAAAGCTGTTTTTTTTCAAAAATCAGAGCTAAACAACACAGTCTGTTCTTTTATATGAACATTTTGTACTAACTTGGTACAGTTTTGATTTTACAGAACATTTGAGAATAGATTTGGTGTATCAAAACGTTAAGTACTGCATGTCTTGCTAACACCAGCTTGTAACTTATCAATGTATTTTATACTCCCTTTTTTTTATAAAAAAACAAAACAAACAAAAACAACCGTTATCTTTCTCAAACAACTACTTTAGAAGTTAACTTGTCAAACATGTAACATAGGTTTTTTTG